TAATTAAGTTAAACAGATAATTAATGACAAAATGGTGCCTCCAAGTTCAAGCCAACCAATTCCAAGTTCGTTTCTCTACTCCTCTTCTTACACAGCAGCAAAAGCAAAGTGTGGGAGCAAGGACACCCAGCTGAAGCCACAAGAATTTCTAATTTGATTAAAGAATCTATCTTGCCCATATCAAAAGGGACTACTCCTTCAGAGAAGGCAGGGATAATTTTCTTTTTCGTAATGACTACTATGAGGAAATATATGCACTCCAAAACTATCTCTGATAAGCAGATATGCACCTAGGAATTATTCTCTGTGCCAAAAGGAAATAGTGCAGCATTTTGGTTCATTAAAAGAGTGTCTTCGGGGCTTCCCTAGTGGCGCAGTGGTTAAGAATCCTCCTGCCAATGCAGAGGACACGAGTTTGAGCCCTGGTCCGCGAAGATCCCACATGCCACGGAGCAACTAAGCCTGTGTACCTCAAGAACTGAGCCTGCGCTCTAGAGCCGCTGCTCTGCAACGAGAAGTCACCGCAATGAGAAACCCCCGCTCACCGCAACTAAAGAAAGCCGTGCGCAGCAACGAAGACCCAACGCAGCCAAAAATAAATAAGTAAAATAAATTTAAAAAAAAATAGTGTCCTCATGTTTCTTATGTTCTTGATTGACCGGGTGTGTTTAATCACATACCAGAAAAGAATTAAAACACAAAAAAAGACAACAAAACAAGGTAAAGTCAAATAAAAGAAAGCACAAACGAAACAATACTGTATGCAGCCACCTCAAACACAGGCTAAATGAACCTATGCTGTCAGGGCTCAGGAAGATGATTTACCTCAAGGAGGTAGAAGTGGAGGCTGGGAGGCGGCATCTTCTGGGACTATGCTCATGTTTACATTCTTTATTTGAGCCCTGCTCCCACAGGTGTGCTTAATTTCTATTCAATCCATAGACTATGCATTTTTCTTTCTTGTACGTCAATATATAGTTGAAACATACACAAAATCAAGGTGTAGAGACTTTAAGGACGCAAAGATTCGCTCTAAAGTTTTCACAGAAGAAATATTTTATTTCCATCTATTCCACAAGTAGAGGGCCATGGCAATTTAAAGGCATCTATCAGGAGGAACATTGAAGCCTATCATTTTTCAGAAAGACAGAGTGTTAAGAAATAATTGCCATTAGCGGGGAGAAGTTGAGGTCAGACACGCTGAATCAACTGAGTCGGGGACACCACTTTGGCTCAAACCAAATGAGTCTATAACCATGCAGGACCTGATGTGTTTCCAGACTGCTGCTTTTCTTGGCTTGACAATGAAATATTTTAATTTCCCCACTTCTAGAATTTTACAAATTGGACCTGAATTCCAGAATCTTAAAACTTTCATATTTTTAGAGGTTAACAGATGATTTTTCAATTTCTTATTGAAATGTTATTGCCTGGGAGTTAAATACCTTCAAATGTATAAACTGCAAATTCAGAAAATAAGACCACATTGCGTTAACATTATTTAAATTCCTTGACCCAAATTCCATTTCTATTTTTTTCTGAATAACCATAAGATGAACAAAGACTTATGTAACAATATTTTAAATGGCTATTTTTAAAAGCAAAAATTTATATAATACCTTATATTGAACATAAAGAGTCATAATTATGCCCCATCCATACCAATTGTATATATTTTAAAATCATGTATTTGAAGGACAGTTATTGATGCAGTATCAAGTACCACTCAATAGAGCAGCATAAAAGAATTGGTACAGAATGGACTTAATTTTTTAAAGAATTAAGCAAAACCATATTTGTAAAAATATAAAAACATTAGAAGCTCTCATTTCTGCGGCAGAATACTATGTGATGTTTAGTTTCTTCCAAAAGCTTTTCTATATTTTCCCAAATAAACATGTACTAGTTTTTAAATTATAAAGATATTGCATGCTCTTTCTAAAGGAATCCAAGTATATAGATTAAAAAGAAAAAAACTCTCCGTCCTCTTTCCTTCTCCCACCCCTAACCAAGACTTATGCATATCTTTCAATACAGAGAAAAATTGTTAACTTTTTATAGTCAGATTTTTTTGGCTTTTGTGTCATGCTTTTCCCATGCCACAGTTCTAAAGATATTTCCAAATTGTCTTTTGTGCTTTCATTGTTTTAACATTAGTTTTAATCTATCCAGATGAAAAACAATATGGTTAACATAGTTTTAACCTAGCCAGGAATTATTTTAGTATGTAGATTCGTACTACTGTGGTAGCCAGCCTCCAAGATGGCCCTCAATTCTCCCCAATGCCTGGTAGTCTGCCAGGCAGACCCCGTCCACAGTGTACCAGGGTTGGTCTGTGTAACCCAAAGAATGTGTAGATGGGAGGTCATTTCAAATATTAGGTTATTAAAGATGGCTTCCTCCCAGGGCTCCCTTTCTCAGACCACTCATTCTGGGGAAAACCAGCTGTTAGGCCATGAAGACTCTCAGGCAGCCTAAGGAGAGGACACTGTGGTAAGGAACTCAAGTCTCTGGCTAAAAGTCAGTGAGGAACTGAGGTCCACCAACCACTGCTGCTGGGCTACACCCCACAGGCTGGCAAGCCCTGTACTCCCCCAGCCTCAAGACCAAAGAAAGAGCCCCGAAGAAGCAACAGGGACATTAATGGTTTAATGGATGGGGGATCTTACTTGAAGCAAAGTTCTGGAGTGACACGCCACGGCATGCGGCAGACGGCAGGCAGGGCACCAGGGCGAGACGCGGCAGCAGTTTTCGGTATCACGGGGAAAGGGAGGTTACCAGTTATAGAGGGAATTGATAGCAGGTTGGCTCATTGGTTACCAGGGAAACCAACTGAGGGGCACGCCCCTTTCAAACTATCTTAGTAGAGTTCTGATCTAAAGATCAGAACAATCACCAGCTGGGGCCAGGGTCAAGTAGGCATTTACTGATTAGACACTATGATTAGGAGGGAAGGTCAGTCATGTGAGGCAGGGACTGATTGAGCAGGGGATGTAGAGAGAGCAAGAGAGCAGGCATCTTGAGTGGCCTGATCATACAACCGCTGTCAGCTTGGAAGCAGATGCTACAGCCTTCAGAGGACTGCACTCCCAACCAATAGTTTGACTGCAACCTCAGCAGAGACTGAGCTGGAAGCCACCCAGCTAAGCTGCTCCTAGATCCCGACCACAGAAACTGACAGGATAAATATCTGTTGTTTAAAGCTGCTGAATGTGGGGATAATCTGTTGTGTAGCAATAGATAACTAATGTAATTACTTTTATAATTAGGACAAGTTTTATTTTTAAAAAGAAAAAGAGACACGTCTTTCAGAGAAAGAAAGGGCTTTGGTTGAATGATTTGTTATTAAGTTCTTGCTGATAAGCATCCTCCCTCTCCCCCAATGCTTGCTTACCTGAAAATCACTATCTTAAGTTCGTTTGGGAAAAATATGCGCTAGAAAAGATAAGTATTAGTATTCTACAACTCCTATAGTTTATAGGCTACAAAATTGATTTCCCAGATGTTTATTTGATAGAAGTGCTAGCTGAAAAAATTTTTGAACTGTAGAAACTTACATTCCCATAAATAATTTGACAGCAGAATATAGGGAAAAAAGAGCAAAGGCGAGGGACTCAGAAGTGGGACTATTAGTTCCATCTTGGTCACTAACTCTAAGACCTTGGACAACTCTGCTTTTCTAGGTCTTAGTGTGGACCCTTTGGAAATAGTGGGGCAAAGTCAAATATCCTCTACTGCAGTGCCCTTCGCATGCTTTACACATGGTCCCCTAAAATGAAGGGGGACATACTGACATAAAATTAAATATAAAATACATAAAAGTTGACATATAAAATTTTTATTACAAATTGAGTGTAATTTGCATTATTTTATCTTTAAATATATTCGTCAAAACATCGGAGATGAAGATTGAACTTAATTTACAGAGTGTGCCTGTCACGTATCCTATTTAGCAGTCAGCACTTGTCAAATTAGTTTGCCAACTTTGTTTTCTATGAAAATGATTCATTTTTTTCACTTCAAATAAACACATTACATATGCACTCTATAACGTGACTACCGTTTAACTTCATAGTTCTAATTTTTAGATAGATGGAAGGGTAGGTAGATGATGGAGGCTTGCCATGAACTGAGGGACTGGAAGAAATCAGATACCCCTCCCTTGGGTTTCCTGCTTTTCTCTCAAGGGACTATGCTATAAAGGCAATGCATTCTAGAATTGTCTTTGTTTAGTACCACGTGGTTTTCATCTCCAGGGCAGTGTACCATATTGGGGTAGATGAGTTAATACTTTTAAAGCTCTTTATCCTATGACTTCCAGTCATTCTTGGCTGCAGTTATTCTGTCCTTATTATTTCCTGTGTAATGAAAATGACATTCTCATATACAGATAATAATTATTATTAATAATATCACTTCTAGGGCTTCCCTGGTGGCGCAGTGGTTGAGAGTCCACCTGCCGATGCAGGGGACACGGGTTCGTGCCCAGTAGAAATTGTGTTTTATAGCAAAAAAAAAATAAATATTTACCTCTTATCAATTAGATAGGATGCTTTCAGTTATTATTTGATTTTGTTAATTTCATATTGAAACTGTGAATTTTAAGAATAGAATATATTCTATAAGTAGATATTTTATTAACAAAAAGTGAAAGCGGTCCAGCGGTTAGGACTCACACTTTCACTGCCGTGGCCTGTGTTCAATCCCTGGTCAGGGAACTAGTTTCTGCAAGCCACATGGTAAAAAAAAAAAAAAAAAAAAAAAAAAATCACTTCTTGGTATTACTGCTATGTGCCTGTATTTTGGGGGTGATTTCTGTTTCACTACAAAGATAAGTGAAGTGTATTAGTTATGATGATAAAAGGAACAGAAGTGTTTTCATAGAGAAGAACAATTCAGCATTTTGGATGGGAAAAAAAAGCCTAACACTGAAATGTCATCTGTGTAAGAAGTCAGAACAGTAAAGAAATAAAAGCTCTGAAAATATAAGCCCAGATTTTTAAAAAGCCATTTATTTTAAAAAACTGTTTGTCAAATCACATACACGAGCAGATACACAACTACCAAAGTGGCCCTGTAATAGACACCAGTGGGGCATTCACCACACAGTACCTGAAAAATACAGCTAAAAAAGAGGAGGAGTCTGTGGAGTATTTAATTTCAGACACCTACTGGACTCCCTGTTGAATGGCTTTAAGTTAGCATATAGTGAATGAGAGGTAGAGTCCCAAGTATAATAGCTGATGCCTCAGGGCTCCATTTAAAAACAAAACAAAAACAAAAACCATTTCCCCCTCTGCACAAGGGAAGCCTAACCTATTTTTTTTTTCCTTTGTGAAAACAGAAGCCAAGTTTCTCTTCTCAAATGGTTCAGCATTCCCAGTAAGAGTGTTGTGTGGTGACCTAGGTATTGTGCTTCTTGAGCCCTCTAATTTTCTTCACCTTCAGATTCAGATTCTAGGAGAAAAGAAAGAAAAGTCAGGTCATTTCTTCTGAGACACCTTTAAATAAGGTCATGAAAGAATTTCTACTCTATCTCCCTCCCCCATTAAAAAAGACATTTTGCCTAGGCATCCATTTACTAGGTAAGAGAGTCATATATGAGGGCAGGCAGCAAACTTTTGCTCCTTTTTGCTTTTAAACGAAATTACCTTTCTAAAAATGCAACATGCTCAGAAATATTACTGGTGACTAAAACTATTTATATTTTTCTGGATCTGCAACTTTTCACGCTTAGCTGGATTAAGTCTCATCATTATTGTTCTTCCAACTTGTACTGCCATTTTAAATACCAGTCAACTGGTAAAGGTGCCATAAAAATCAATATAATCCCATAAAAGTGATTAAGCCAAATGTATTTTTTTTTCCTTTCACAGCTGCTGATTATTTCTTCCTCTTTGTCCCTTAAATTAGGAATAATTTAAGAGGTTTTGGTTTTGTTTTGTTTATCTTGCAGAAATTTTCATTGGCTTGATTCAGAAAGGAAGGCTAAGAGGTAGACAAAATGTCTGCTGTGGAACACACCTCAGAACTTTAGTTTTAGGAAGGCAAGAAAAATCTGTGGAGGAGGAAGCTATTTTGAATTATAGTGAGAAAGGATTTGCTAAATGGTCACCAGAGTTGTTAAATGGAATCATACCTTCTTCTGCGTTTTGTAACCACTCAACAAATTTCTTCATCTGGTCAAGAAAAACACTTTTGCCTTTGGCAACATGCGCTTCTTTGTACCATTTCAGTATCGCTTCTTCACTCAGCACATCAGCTGCAATTTCAAATCAAAGGTTTCAAAGCTACTACATACATGTCATGTTTTAAAGCAACTTCATGTCTTATAGTTTAATAGAAAGCAATCACTTCAAATATTAAAGCTCTTTATAAAAGAAATTCGTATTGAAATTTATCAGAAGACAAGAACCAAGCTTATTTCCATACAGCGCAGTGCCCTGTGTATTTTAGTAGTTAGGGGAGTGATGGTGATGGGACTGGGACTTGAAAATCTCACAGTGCTAATTTGCTGGCAGGAAACTAGGTTATTTTGTAATTTTGCCAATGAATCATCAATTCCAGCCTTTCAGAACACTCTGTGTCCTGCCACCAACTGCAAACACATCTTGATTAAGCAGCAACCACAAATGACTGGTCTTTTAAGGGGATTTACTTTAGGAGGAAAAGAAAGCAAATGAAAAAAATGCAGACAGGATGCAATAATAATGTTAATAATTAAATATAATGATGAGTTTCCTGGGTGTACCATGGGACCAATACACACATAATCCAAAGTTCTACATTACTCTATCGCTAAGTCCTAAATTTACTTTCCCACAGCACAATATCTAAATCACATGAGTAATGTTTTCCTTGTATACTGTTAGGAGAGAAACAAAAAGTGTTATCTATTAACTATTACCTAAAACTCTAAATTCCACAAATATTCCTTGATACCCTCAAGTTACCATTAATTTAGAATATTTAATGTTAAGAATAGGAAGGGGAATATGAAAAAAACAGCCTACAGACTTTGCCAATGTTCTAATGGGTTATCTTTATTATCGTCCCCAACGCCCGCCCAATCCATTGCAAATGCTGATAAATCATTCTAATGATGTTTTTGCAATTAAAATATACCTTTAACTTATGAAAACAAGAGAAATGATTTGATACTGGTTTCATTCAAAACCTCAGTGATCTTTTCATAACAAAAACTTTGTTTTTTTAAAATTAATAATTGGCTCTTGGGTTCAGTTGAAGAGGTCAAATTGACTAAAAATGCACATGATTGGTTTTAGAAAATATAAAGTTTGTTTTATTTTTTATTTTGGTCATTAAATACACTACATTTTGCAAAGGAAGAAGGAAGTCTGGATTTATTCATATATAAGGACTAGACATAAAAATTATAACCAGGAGCCCTAAGGAATTACTCTTAGCTTCTAGTCTTTTAGTTTCTTGTGCTTCCAGCTCCAAACTCCCCATTCACAATGATGAAAGGATTCTCCTACCTCTTGCCATCAAAGTCCAGTTTTCATACCAATGAGGAGCAGATGTTTTACAGCTCAAGGAAGTGACCTGTTACTGGGTAAGACGGCTTTGCAGAAACCTTTCAGGAATGCTAATTAGCTCAAACATGGATTTTTAAAGTCCCTTTTATATAATTTGTTTTTATGACATCTTTAAAATGCCTGTGATTTAGACCAATAATTTCCAAACTGTTTTGATCATGCTCCCCTATCAGTAAGACAATTTTGAGTGTGTACACACAACATATATGTATTTTTTGTTTTATAAATTATATGCATGTACTATATAACTGCTATTGTTAATGTTATAAAACAAAACATAGGATTAAACATGTAAAGAGAAATTCTCTTTTTTCTCCTCCCCTTAATGAATCATGTTATGACACAATGTATAGGTTGGAAAGGCAACGGAGAGTGTAGTTTAGCGATACTCTTTGTCTCAGGTTTTCCTTCTGAAGGTTGAGAGCTCATTCTCTGAAGGTTGAGAGTTTTGTTGCCCCACAGAGGCTGAAAGAGGCCATGCAACTACTAGAATCCTTGTCAGTGACTGTGCTTGTGAAAAGGACAGTACATGACAGATAGAACTTATAGGATGTCTCATCCACTGAAAATCAGACAAACTGTGCAGAGCTGAGTTCTTAGGAGAAGCTAATTTAGTAATAAACACCTGCTGCAAGACCAAATTTCTAGTCCCAGGGAATAAAATAATAAAAAAGGGACATAAGCACCTACACAGGGCGACTTTGCAGCAAAGCACGAACACCAAAGAGAAAGTCAACTTTTGTGTA